TCTTTATGGCTCAGGGAGACTCCAAATGGAGCAGACATTTTTGTTTGGATCTTGGAAATGTCATGTCTCACCAGAGTGTAAGAGGGGTCCGGCGGAGCGTCGGAGGGAGAGACCATACAAGAGATTTACTCCATGCAATTGGCAAAAGGGGATTTATTGGGGATCCATTCCAGCGCGCTGGGACTCTGTGCTCACTCAAGAAGGGAGAGCAGCCCAGAGCCCMGARCRGAGGTYARGYRGAGCTTAAGTACACTTTTTGGGGAGGGCGGGAGGCTTTGCATACATCAGAACAAATCATCATGAGGCGCGGGGAAATTGAACAACAACTCTGAGATGTGATTGGCACAATCATTGGCGGGCGAGGGTGATTGGTCATTCRTAAGCGGGTTACACATTCAAACTGATTGGTTTGGGCCCTGTGAGGAACTACACAGGGCCCTAGGCTAAACRGCCAGTAGGGCATTGTCTTAACTATCTCAGGAATCTGGGTGTAACAGAGGAACTTAATAATACCTAATCTTTTACATTCAAGCTTTCCAGCTTAGAAACTTTACCCTTTCAAGAGGTTGATATTACCTTTACCAAAATGTAGCTCTGAAAAGGTATAAAATACCATTCACATACTCATCAATACTTATGAAAGGAAAGTGACCACGACACTCAAAGTGACCAAGAGATCTTTATTGCTATTGTGACAGTGTCTGATCTACTGGAGAAAAAGAGGAGGGGGCGGGTGGCARGAGAAGGTTTTTATAGCCCTGTGCTGTGCTGCCTAAATCTAATAGGGTCTCTGGTCTACAAGCTGCCTGGTTGGGGTACAGTGATTGGGTCACACAGTAGTTGCTAAGGGTGTCATCTTCTGCCTTCAAGAGGATTGGGCATGGACTAGGTGCAGGTTTCAAATCGAAAACAACAAGGAAATAAAGGGAAAAGGCACCAAATAATCATCCCCAAAGGAAGGGCTAAGGATGGGTGGGGGTAGCATACTCAGTTTACCCTGCAGCTAACATTTATCCAGCCTGTCCTGCAGCAAACAACTACAGTCTTCCTGTACTAAAAGCATGAGAGACAGAGGAAGCTGTAATGGGAAACAAGACATGGACCCTGACCTCAAGTAATTCACATGGTGTTTAGAATACCAGACTTAGGTATGTAAATCATAATGGCCCCAGGATAATGATTCCTGCTATAAGTGGGAATATCAAAAACATCTAATGCACTTCATAGAAGACAGCAACCAACCTTAAAATTTGTACAATAGCAATTTTCTTCCCTCCATTTTGAATCTCAATACCCCAATATAAATCTTTCTGTGGGAAAAAAAATCTGAGTATATTAAAAAATTGCTAGCGAAGAATACCTAATAGAAAGTATTCAAGCTGAGCCATCTTTCTGGTACTTAAGAGGCCATCCCCCATCCACCAGGGTACCTGTGGATGGCCTCTTCCAGGTGGGACTATCAAGTTGTGTGGGCAGTAGCTAGATCCTATTATGAAGTGCTACAGCTTTAAAAGCACACTTCCATCCACCACCTGTTAGGTCTTATCTATGAACTGCCTGGCACCATAGAAAGCGCAGCCAGAACACCAGAGCACTGATTCTGCTCAGCTCTCTTGCTGAAAAAACGAAGGCTTTAGTAACTAGGTCCTCTGCAAGGCTCCTTGTGCAGCTAGATGGGTGGGGCGCATTTTACTGTCATCATTTTACAGATAAAGAGACTAAGGTCAAGAAGGTCAGGGGGTTGCACAAGGCCCCAGGTGATAACCCAGATCTAATCCTTGAGATTAGACACCACACCTGTAAGGACAAAACATTTCTTCTACATCGGATTCAGAACCACCTCTGTGGGCAACAATACACATAGAAACACACATAGCACTAATTGAAGGATTTAAGTTACCACTCAAGACGACTAAGTGCTAAAATACCTTAACAAATACCTCTTTGAAAGGACCTGGACAACCAGATGTTAATTAGGAATTCTTGGACCCCACCAAGGGCTGGAAAGTGCCAGGGAAGATAAAACTGACCCTACCAATACTCTTCCACATGAAAAGGGCCCAAGCACGTGGGAGTGCACACTCAATTGAACAGTCATTGCCCAGAATCCCAAACAGATTCTGGAAGTGGTTTTGGCACCAGTGTTCTGACTAGCTGGAGCCTGGTCTAGAAAAGGGTTCTGCAGCCAGATGGATCATTAGCTTGACCCTGTGGGTGGAGGCACTGCCAGAGGAGAGGTGGAGTGTGGCATGGACAGAGGTTCCTCTTGCCTGGCTTTAAAAGCCAGTTTGAAGGCCCTGGATGTAGCTCAGCAGAAGAGTACTTACCTGGCACGGTGGTGATGTGGACTTGATCCCTCGCACCAAGGGGTAGGGAGAAAGTTTGTTCACATTGAATCTAAATTCCACCTAACCTAAGAAAGAGCAAAAACTAGGAATTCTCTTGTGAGAAGGCAGTGGTTAGACCGGACTCTGCAGCTTCCGTTGGAATCTAAGCTTTGCTACATTCCGCTGTGAAATCTCTAGCAAGTTACCCAACATCTCATGGCCTAGGTTTCTTCTTTAAAAGGGGTACAATAATAGGCAGATATTCAACATTGGGTAAAGACTGGCAGGATTCTATCCAGCTATATTAGAAGAATTTGTTTCCGAGATTTTTCTGGAGACTTACATAAGCATAATTATATGCAAGTACTCTGACAGTCAAAGGTGAAAGCCCTCTCTCCACTAAATAGAAGGCTCTGGACGCGGCACGAGCGCCAGCCACGGCACCCCAGGCGTAGGCTGCTGCCCTTATTCTGCCCAGTGCCCAGCGTGCCCGAGGACTTCCTGCTGCGGACTCGCACTGGAGCCCGGGTTTGAAGAAGGTTAACTTGCTAACGTGGCCGTGAGTCATGGCGGGACTAGGAACTGAAACCAAGAGTCAGCACCCCTCCTGGCTCATCCTTCCGGTGCAGACGGTTAAACCAGAGAGCAATGGCAAAGGATGAGAGAGGCAGGATGCCGGGTCAGGGTTGTCTTCCCCATCCCTTTCGCCCTGGGGCTCACGCTACCAGTCAGTGATGTTTGCAGACAGGTCTTGACACCTCTCCTTGCAAGGATGAGAGATACTCAGAACAAGTCTGGGCATCTTCCTCGCGCCTCCAGTGAAAGCGAGCCGAGCCAAGTCTAGCGACTGCCTGCCCAATAGCACAGACGTTTCCGAACAGGCAAGCCTGGACATTCCCCGCGCCTCTCCGGGTGAAACGAGTTCCAAGTGGCTCATTTCTCATCCTAAYACCCTCCCCCCTCCCTACAGAAAAACTTGGAAACTTTGCTGTTTCCTGCAGACCAAGAATTGTAATCAGCCCTATCAGCTCCCTACAGGGGACAGTCGTGACTGGGCACCGAGAGTCAGACTCCCTCTGAAACACCAACAAAGGACTATATTTAGTTCTGAGCTCTCCGCCTAAATTCTTATTTTTTCACTCTTCACTGCAAAACGACTGGGTTGGGAAAGTGGGAGGAAGGGGGCAGGGGAGTAGCGGAGAAAGAACAGCTGTGCCTCCGCCTCCCAACTCAATCTCTATAAATAACCAATCGCGAAGGGAGGCTACTTTTCAGCCAATGAAGCAACCCAAACTGATAAAACCTTGGCGGTGGCCAATGGCAGAAAGCTGGAGGGCGTGAGACTCGCGCCCTGGGACCAATGAATGCCGAGTCCAGGAGAGGTAATTTGAGCTGGAGTGTGGGCGTGCGGTGCAAAAGCTTCCTACTTCCAAGCCCAAGGACCAGCTCTGCCGACTGAGCATGCCCTAAACTGCGGGTGCCGCCAGGCTTCGGGATTGGGATGGGGCCCGTTTTTCCGGGTTTTGGCCACTGCAGTGTGGGTAGGTGGGTGGGACCCACCGATTGAGGGTAGGACTCGGGCCCGCCCCATCCCTGCCAGAAGGGAGCTCCGGGCGCCACCAGCTGCCCCATCCTGAGTCAGGACTGAGTCTCCGGCCCGATTCCTCCAGTTTTCTTTGTTGGAGGGCTGCAGTGCAGGAATTGAGGGCCGGCTTCGCGGGGGAGCGCTCCTCTTGCTAACAGTTGAGAAAGCATTACGCAATGGCAGTAGGGATCGTCCACCACCGCCGCTGCCTTCCGTTGCCCGACTCATACAACGGCCTGGGGCTCTGGGAGTAGCATTTTCGGATTTTTGATACCAGGCAGTCCAGAGCAAGAACCACCCCATCCCAGGTCCGGCCGGCCGCGCTCCACGCTTCTCGCAGGGCCGCCGCCCTCGGCACAACCCCAGAGCCACAAAAGAAGGCGACCTCCATCCTCCGGTCCGAGCTTTCCCAGCTCCTCTTGCACACGTAGATACACCTTTCTCCCGCAGCGGACACACTTATCTAGTTCCTGGACTCGCTTGGCTCCGGAATCCGCTTCCCGAGACTCAAATCCAGAGCCCCGCCTCTAACCCCGCCTCCTCCCGRCCCAGCAGAAAACCGGGCGCGGAAGTCGGGCGGGCGACGGGCGGCGCACTGGGCATGCTCGCCCGCGCGGGGAGGGCCGGGCTGCGCGCGGCGAGTAGGAAGCCCTCGCCCCACGGAGGCTGCAGGAGAGAGCGCGATGGGCCTCGGCGGTGGGCGCACGTTCCGCGGGGACTCGTGCCCTGCGTGTCCCGGCCCGACGCGCAATTAGCAGCCGCCTCTGCAGCCCGGTGCCGCCGCCTCCCTGCCCTCCTGGGCTTCCGCGGTGAGGAACTCCAGCGGTCGCCTCGCTCAGCTGCCGGCATTGTCCTCCGGTCCGCCGCCGCCGCCGCGGACTGCAGCGGGGCCCCGGACCCGCGCCCCAGGGACGCACCGCCGCCTCAGGTCGGCCCGGAGCCGGAGCCGGCCCACGATCTCCACGCCCTACGCTCCGGGCCGCGCTCGCGTGGGTTTTTGCTGCGGAGCTGAGGAAGGGGAGAAGTCGAGTCGCCAAGCCCAGCCTTCAGCGGCGCGCAGCCCCGACGGGGCCGCGGCAGGCGTGGTGCGAGCGCCTACGGAGCCATGAGAGAGTACAAAGTGGTGGTGCTGGGCTCGGGCGGCGTGGGCAAGTCCGCGCTCACGGTGCAGTTCGTGACGGGCTCCTTCATCGAGAAGTACGACCCGACCATCGAGGACTTCTACCGCAAGGAGATCGAAGTGGACTCGTCGCCGTCGGTGCTGGAGATCCTGGACACGGCGGGCACCGAACAGTTCGCGTCCATGCGGGACCTGTACATCAAGAACGGCCAGGGCTTCATCCTAGTCTACAGCCTGGTGAACCAGCAGAGCTTCCAGGACATCAAGCCCATGCGGGACCAGATCATCCGCGTGAAGCGGTACGAGCGCGTGCCCATGATCCTGGTGGGCAACAAGGTGGACCTGGAGGGCGAACGCGAGGTCTCTTACGGCGAGGGCAAGGCCCTGGCCGAGGAGTGGAGCTGCCCGTTCATGGAGACATCGGCCAAAAACAAAGCCTCGGTGGATGAGCTCTTCGCCGAGATCGTGCGGCAGATGAACTACGCGGCTCAGCCCAACGGCGACGAGGGCTGCTGCTCGGCCTGCGTGATCCTCTGAGGCGCCCGCGGCCGCCGGGCGCCGGCCTCGCTCTGCGCACAAAAGCCAAACGCATCCGACTCTCTAAATGTGATTTCCTTTYTTGCTTTGAGATTGGAGACGACTTTGCATTGGCCGGGGTGTCCCGGGAGCCCGGCTGGCTTCCGGGGCCCGCATCCCTTGCCTTCGCCCCGTGTCCGAGGGGTGCCCCGTCCTGACCATCCGAGACCCTGGTGGAAATGTGGCTCTTTGCAGCATGTACGTTTCTCATTGATTTCGGTTGACGCATATTCCCCCGTTTAAGTGGCCGTTAGGGTGCTGTATTGGCAGCTCGACACCCGGCAAGCAAAAGTTTCAGCCTGGAAATAAATGGAGGTGGGGAGGTGGAGGAAGTGGAGGGGAAGAAGGTGGAAGGGGGGGTCTTCTCTCTCTCTCTCTTTCTCTCCCTCTGTCCCTCTCTCTTTCTTTTGTTAATGACTCTTTTCTAGTTCCGAGTTTTAAATACATGGAAGTCCAGTCCAGTCCGGGAAACCCATATGAAGGAGCAGAAGGAGAGGAAGAAACTCTTGTTTTTTCCTTGTTTTCCAGGAGTAGCTGGAAATTTAGATCGGGTTCCTTTCCTGCCAGCTTGGAAGGGCAACCCCTCGTGACTGGTTGTGATTCTGAGGATGTCTATGCAAAGTTGGATTCTTGTTACATTGTATCCAATCTGAAGTATTGCACATCTGAACTGGGACTGTTAACACTGATGCCAATACAGTGTGGGGTGCCAGAAAGTGTCTGCTGATATTTGTGGAAAAAAAAAATCTATTTTGTTTACCTACTGTATCAAAGGGGAGCCTTGGGAGAATGGTAGTATTTTTTTTTATCAGCTGTGAAAAAAAAATGTTACAGATCCTGCACATTTTTGTGTGTACTATGGTGTGTGTGTGTTTTAAGTTTAGCTTTTTTTTTTAAAAAAAAATTTCTTTTGGTTGGCAGCAACAGATTTTAATAACTAGCTTTTAAAAATATAATACAAAGACTTTGTAAATGTGATTCAGGGCCCCCAGCACCCCTGTGTCTGCAGAGTGCCTTCAAAACTCAGCTGTTCAGCCGCTGCCAACGGTGAACTTCCCACCAGTACCAGAATCTGCTATTCCCCAAACCACTTACCAATTTCCTTTCAGTAATCTTCCTGAAGGAGCCAGGACAATAGGGCGTGTTGTTCAGTGAATTTATTATTTTCAGCCTTTAAAATGTAATGTCCATGTCTTGCAATGGGTTGTTCCCCCCCCTTTTTTTGGCTTCATTTTGTTCAAATTTCAGGTATTTAGCTCCCCTTACATATTATTTTTTAAATGTTTTGATTTTCTGTTATAGGGTGTACCTTCAGAAGCAAGAGCAAAATTTCACTGTTATGATGTATCAAGTTCTAATTGTAATTTTAATTCCACTCGTTTAATCATTGTCTCTTCATTTTAAGACTTTTAATACAAATGTCATTTTTAAAGAAACAAGCCCAAAAGTATTGTTTGTGTTTCTGTGTTTCATATTCTGTGATGTACAGCATCAGTGGTAATGCAGTATCATGGCTGAGGTAGGCAGGGGCAGGAAGCAGAGCTGTCAAATTTTGAAGATAAACGGATGTATTTCTGTGACAAGTTGGGTGTGACATTCCTTCCAACTTCTTAAATGTGGAGAAAGTCCTCAGGCCTAGGAAGCCCTGGCCATACCTGCTGACTAAAAGATGAGGAGGCATCTTGGTTGTATTCTGAGATGGAGCCATTGGCTTGCTCTGGGTAGTGGGGTGGGGGGTGGGGGGTGGGAGGGGCACCAACTGCTAATGCTGACTTAGAGCTGAGAACTTCACCCTCACTCAGCCAAGTAGGGTGGCACTTTGGGTCCTTCATCCTGTTGTGTTTATGTTGTGCATCAAGTTGAAAGCCCGTTTGGGGATGATTTCTCATGCTGACATCATGCCATGTGGTGTGTTTTGCACTGTATCTGAACCTGTCATAGACAGTATTTCAGCAATTTCATTTGGAAACAGATCTGTTCCCTTGATCTTATTGCACTGTGCTGTGTGTGGACCATATTTGACCTCATAAATTCTTCCTTCTGACAGTAGGAGGCAGTGTAAGCTTTTTTATTTTTTATTTTTATTTTTCTTAAGGAGGTCTTTAATCTGTAAAATAGCCTCTACAGAATAAAAGAAAGTGTCTATGTATTTTAGAGTACTTGATACATCTTAGGGTTTAAGTATAGTTGAAGTGTCCTGAGTCTTCAAACAAAAGGGATTTATTCCCCTAACAAAGCCAAAAGAAATTAGAGGCTATAGGTTTCTTTAAAGCTATATTAACATATCTTGCCTTAAAATGTGTGGTTTTGGTTTTTTTGTTGTTGGTTTGCCTGGGAGGCATTTCAGTATTCCTTTGTGGAGGAGGAACTATTTATTTTGATTGTGATACATAGGCCTGCCCCCCCTTTTTCCCCACTGATCCCACTTAGGTTGATAATCAAACACAACTAGAAAGCAATTGTAGAAACTGAGAGAAACTGTCCAAATTGATGTTATTGCAAGGATTCGTTCTTGCATTTGAGTAAACTTGGTTACTTAATTCAATCCAAAGTGTTGAAAATTCTGAAGATGTGACAAGTACTCTGAAGAATTTGTAAAAAACAAGGTATTTGATGATTCTATCATTCTTATTTTATTATTATTTTTTATTATTAATTGGAAAGCTTTTGACAAAAAAGCTAGTAGGTATATAATTTAAGAAATTATATAATCCTGACAGGAAATATTTGAAAATGGGAATTTGGAAATGGAATAGATTGCTGGTGCATTAATCACCTTCCCGCAGGGTTTAGTCACTTGCATGACTAAATTCTGTATAGGTCTAGGGTGGCAGAGCAGAAGAGTTTAACATGTTTTTACCGAATACTGTAAAATAAATGCTTTTTGGGTTCTCAAAGCAATTTTATGTGTACTGGAGCAGGAAAAATAGTTCTGTGCTGTTTTGGTTTTCTCTGTTATTTTCTGGACAAAATTGAGAGAAATTTAGGGACATTTCTACTTTTTTCTAAAAAAAAAAAACCAAGTTTTTACAATGTTTATTTGGCTAGGAGGAACCCCTTCTGGTATTGTGGTGTGAAGAGATAAGAGCGTTTGTTTGAATGACAAAGTCAGGCTGACTTGAAGTGTTAAGGAAGTAGAGCCCGGAGGGAGGGAGGAGTCTGGGAAAGAAGCCTTCTTGAGGAGCTGGCTATTAAACTTGACCCCTGCTGTTTTTTAACAGCTTTCTTTTTTGGTCTCTGACAGCCATCCCAGTTTTATGTCATTTCAAAGGATTATTTTTCTCCTCCTCTGTGACCACCTCTGGAAAGTTGAGGTTATCTATGTAGTTTTAACACCTTCAGCTTTGAGTGCTGTGGATTTGGGGTCGTGTTTTCCATGTTAGCTGCTGACATGGACTTTTCCTTGAACCAGATTTTGGAACCAGATCTGTATGATGTTAAGAGTTCTCTGTGTGTGAGACTTCATGCTTTCTGGCTAGTTAATATTTCCTGTGGGTGGGAACCCTAAAATGCCCCATCTGTTGAGGTTTCCTGGTGGCACTCTTAAGTGAGTTCTGGGTGGGAAGGGATGGCAAAGAGAGAAAGTCGAATGTAGCAGCTGGGTCTTGGGAAAGAGATGCCAATTCCTGCACCGTAACTCACAGAAACATAGATTTGTTTTGCATGACAGCTAGAATGAGTTTCTACATCGTAAATGTGAAGGGAACCAGATTTTTTCTGGAGATCACCACTTTTAGTTAAAATGACATCAGATATTTTTCACATTGTCTGCTTAATTGGGAAAAGCTGGCTAACATAAATTTATGAAAATGTAGCTGGTTTTGTTGATGGTAGGGATGATTAGATGAGTTTAATCAGATGGGCCCCTAGTTCTAGATGAGTGTTGATCTACTCACAGTAGGATTTTGGTGGCTTGAGAAGGCTATAGAGATTTACCAGAGGTTCTCAAAGGACCATAAACCAAAATGACTTGAAGGTTAAAACATTGTTGGACCCCTCTTCCAGTTTTTTTTGTTTAATTCAGTGGATTTGGGTTAGGACTTTTGTCATTTTAATTTCTAACAAGTTTCCAGGTGATTGTGATGTTGTTGGTCCAGGGACCACACTTTGAGAACAAATGACCTAGTCCAAACTCCAGAAGGCTACTCTCCTGAGAGCCTCTTGGATAGAGACATAGATGGAAGACCTGGGCACCCTTGTAGCCTGCTTGCTACCAGTTGTAGAAAACCTCCTTAGAAATCCACTGCTCCAGAAGACACCCACCATTCACACTTGGATTGTCAGATTGTCCTGTGAGTAGGACAGGGCAGACATATTGTAGATGGGGCTTTTGATCATTGTCACCTTCTCTGAGTAACTTGGCTGTGGYTTTAATGTTAATTTGGTTGACTCTTAAACAACAACAACAACAAAATGATCAGGGACATTGCTTCAATGATTAGAATCAATGGTTAGAATCAACTGCCCTCTCATCCCCACCCACGCCCATGTTTTTGATAAAAACTCATGTCTTTGGCAAACTGCTTTAAACTAATTTGTCTTCTCAGGGCTGCAGGTATATAGTTCAGTACTTGAAGCCCTGGGTTCCATCCCCAGCACTGCAAAATAAGTAAATAAATTAAATGAATAAATAAATAAATAATAAAGGAAATAATAAAATATTTGTCTTCTTTTTCCCTTGAAATAAAAAAGGCAAGCATTTTAATTTTTCCTGCTTCCTAGCAAGGATTCTAAAAATAAGTTGTTAGATAATTTTAATTTTTAGGTTGTAGTGATCACTGTGTGTATGTGTGTCTTCTCAGAGGTCCAGGTGCTAGTTAATTAATTCAGTCTCAGTTCCGTTGTTACCCAATCTGGAAAATGCATTCTACCCAACTGGGACTGTGTCTTGTCTCATTATGCATCTTAACACCCAAGGAAGTTCCCAGGACTCCAGGATAAAGGTCTGGGAATTAAAGGTAGTGTTGGGCTTAAGAAATAGTGGGCTGAGGCCTGAGGATATGGCTCAGTTGTAGAGCTCATTTGTAGCTTTCATGAGGCCCTGGGTTTGATCCCCAGCACCAAAAAGGGGGAAAAAAATAGTGTATTGAGATCTAATAAATAGTGGAGTTGCTCTTCTCAGATTTCAGAGCTGGGTGGAGTTGATAAGCTGAAAGAGTAAAAAAGCTGTTGTTCATGTTTGGGTGTGAAGAAGGGACCTTACTCAGAACTCCTTTATATCTTTAGTATTTTCTGGACTTGGGGTATTTGCTTGCTTTTGCCCTAATAATGATGATGTTAATAAATGTTTCTGGCAAAAAATATTTCTTTTTCACCTTCTTGTTGACTGTTGTCCTTTCTGTAGCACGGCAGTCTTGGGTTCACTGTCTTTGCTTGGTAACTATTTGCAGAATGAAGGGAATATGGAATATTTAAAAAGTCTGAAACAACTCAATAGAAGCTGCACCATGACTAGAGAATGGTAGGTTTTTGTCTTCTCTATTGATGCTAGGTTTATCATGATGATCTTTGGAACTATGTCTTACATTTCAACTACACATAAAATAAAATTTTTGTGTTTTTTTTTTTAAAAGTCTAGTTTGCCATCTGTTAAAAGAAATTGGTATATGTTATTCTGAGGCTACATTTTACTTTAAAACATTTATGGCTGACAGTTTGAGCCCTGTGAAGTGTTAGAGAGCTCTATCATCAGCTAGTGCTAGTGTAGTGAAAGTCTAGCAGTGTTAGTCTATTTTTATCTTGACTTTTATTTTATGTTGATTTCTACTGCCATTACTTTGGATTACTACTACTTGATTTTATTAAACTGTAAAATTTCAACGATATTGGTTTTGGAATAATATATTTTAACAGCATCCTGATTACCATTTCTAAGACAATCTGAATTATTTAATAGTTTATTCATTAGAACTCAACTATTTTAAGAGAGTGAAAGAATAATGGATGAGGAGTTCTAAAGTCTTAATCAGTAAGTCTTAATTTCTGAGAAGCAGAAATAGATGTCCGGAATGGATAGATGGGAAAAGCAAAATGGCCTTATTGCATAAGGAATCCTGAGTGTCCATGGGTTTTATAACTTGGAGGGAATATCTCTTTGTGTTGTTTCTTGCTCAGTTGACAATACTTACTCTTTGAAGTAAATTTTCTTGCAGGATTATGTGAGGCTAAGTTTGTTAGAGCTTTGAAAAATGTGTGGTTCATTTATTTGTAGTCAACTGGCTGAAATGGATTCCTTTTTTATTCCACAAACATTTATTGAGCACATACTATTACCTGTGGGCAAAGACTAATGTTTAACTTTAATGTTTTAAGAGCAACAATCTTATGCTTCTTCCCCTAGTGGCTATGAGAATAGCATGTATTAGTACTGGTATCAGTTATAATGCTGTAGGTCTGTCTGGCAGGCAATAAAGTAGATAATTTTTTGGAAAACTGGACCTATCCTCAGAAAGGCATGAGGATGTTGTAAATAAAATTGGATCCCATGAAGATTCAGAAACAATTGTTTTGTTGTTTGTGGTACTGTGTGATAAAACTACTGTGGTTTCATGTATTTGTGCATCATTTCCACTTTCCTTTTTGAGTTTCTCTAAAATTGAACATAATCTGTTCAATTCAAAGGGAAAAGGGGGAAAAGTTTGAAATTTATTCACTTTTTTTTTTTTTTAAATGAGAAAACAAACAGGAGAGAA